TTGCAGATTTCTGGGCAAAATCTGAGGATTATCTCCTTCGCTTTGTGAAAGCAGCAATTCTTGGCACTGACCAGGGGGAAATTGCAATCTAAAAATAGCCCCCTTCTAATCTATCGAAAAGTGCCCGGGCGCGCGTTTTTGATACATTTGGGCAAATATTTGCCGGGTGGGTTGTGGGGCTTTTCGACCCTTTGGCACCGCGACAGTCGCTCGTTTTTTGACAGTTATTCCGCGTTTTTTTTTTGCTAATTGTCCATGTTGCCATCCCCTTCGCCCCTTCTGTTGCCATCCCTTTAATACTGTAAATTTGGAATTTCGAAACTCTAAAGGGATATGGAAGTCAAATATGTATCTTCTTCGATCGTCTAGTCTTCTAGAACGTTTAAAAAATGCTCAATTTCTCGTGCCCCTTCGAATCCGCCATCTTCGAGTCCGAAGGCCAAACAATATAGATGCTAATTGCAAAATGTGCACTTTTTCGGGAGGATTATGGCGGAGAGTGTGATAGAGAGAAACAAAGAGAGAGAGAGAGAGAGAGACAGACAGAGACATAGAATGAGAGAGGGCGAGAGAGCGAGAGATCTATACCGAGATTTATGGAGAGAGACATAGTTAGAGGCGAGAGATAGATAGCGATAAACAGACGGAGAGAGAGAGAGAGCGGCAGAAACGTGGTCACTCGTTCATCAATCCCTCCCACTTTTAACTTTAAAACTTCCGGGCCAGCTGTCCCTAGCTTGATGCCGTGCGTTATTTTTGCATCTTTTGCCCCCCTGGAGGCACTGCCTGGGGTTGAAGGGTCAACAAAAAGTGCATCGTCACCCCAATGAGGAATCTTCGGGCCCTCCGGGCGATTGCGCTTATTGTAGCCACTTGGTGGGCGTCCCCGCGTGAAGCCAATCTGGTGGGGGGAAGCTCTTATAAGCGGCGCTTCCGTTTACGCTTTCCCAAACGTTCTCTGCTAGCCTGCCCTTTCCTAAATATTCTCTGCTTGCCTTCCTTGAATTTAGATCATAAGTTTTTCTAATTGCTCTAAACAGCTAATTCATGACAGTGCTTGTTTAATTTCCACCTGTCTTGCCGAGTTTTTTGGAAAACCACTGCAAAATTTTTAGGAAGTTCAAAAATCTTCCACTTTACTAAATTGTTCCGCTTTTTTGGTTTTTCTAACTTTTCGTGCCGGATTTAGTAAGAGTTTAACCGATTACGCAACTTATATCTAATTGTTTCTTTACAGATATGGAACAGAATGTGACCCTCCTCGGGCCGGATGGGGACTACAACAACACGGATGAGGAGCGCAACTTTTTCGAGAGCCCCGAGCTGCTCAGTATTAGAACGTACGTTACACTCCTCCTTACATAGGTGTACATCGTAAGTTTAGGATTTGCCAGAATATTATCCCGGTTTTTTGCGTGTTCGGGATGGCGGGCAACTCGATGGCGTTGATGTTGATACGGTAGGTCTTTCAAGCAGCCTAAGCCAAGCCTAAGCCAAGCCTAAGCCAAGCCTAAGCCAAGCCTAAGCCAAGCCTAGGCCAAGCTTAAGCCAAGCCGAAGCCAAGTCTAAGCCAAGTCTAAGCCAAGTCTAAGCCAAGCCTAAGCCACCTAAGCCAAGACTGGGCCAAGCCTAAGCCAAGCCAAGCCCAAACTTCAACAACTCTCCAATTTCCAGAACCAACTTCTGGCTCCGTCGGCTCACGTCAAATGCGTATCTTTCAACGCTCTCCATCTCCTCGTGTCTCTTTCTTTTCACCGTGTTCGTGACGTGGGCCGACTCGAAGTACAGCGTGCCGTTGTATAATAAATCGGAGATCGGGTGCAAGGTGAGAACAAATGGTCTCTGCTAGCCTACCCTTCTTTCCGCAATTGTCTCTGCTAATCAACGTTCAACTCCTAAATGTTCTCGGCTATTTTAACTCTCCAAATCCTCCATTTTCTCTGCTAGTTAATCCCTCGGTTCCCAAATAAACTCTGCTAGCTACCTGTTGCAGTTCTTCACCTTCCTCGCCCATGCGTGCGACTTCATCTGCGTGTGGATGATCTCGTGGGTGTCGTGCGACCGGATGATTGTCTTATATCGGCCAGGTAAGCTATAAAAAACGTGATGTAACCGAGACCAAATTAAAAACTACCTAAAAACAACAAAATCGTGATTTTTAGGAATCCGGAAGTGGGTGTGCACAAAGAAATTTGCGAAGCGGATGGTCGTTTTCACGATTTTCATCTCGTTGTTGTTATATTCATGGTAAGGCATTTTTTGTAATTTCCTTAAATGGTCTCTGCTAGTTTCCCCCTAAACTTTTGTCAGCTAGCAGAGATTATTTGGGAATTAAGACCAATCTAGCAGAGACCATTTAAAAATTCCCCCAATTAGGTGCATCATGTCGGCCTCCCTGGAAATGGAGGACGGCACGGTGTTCTGCGGACTCGACCGTAATCAGACACTCTTCGGAAATACCATCGGAAATCTCTACTTTTCATTCACGATGATCGACACGGTCATCTGCACCGTGCTGCCGTCGATCCTGATCGTCGTCGTCAACTCGTTCGCCATCTACCGGTAAGTCGAAGTCTAAGCCTAAGCAAGCCAAGCCGATTTTCTCCAGGTATCGCCAATGCATGAAGATCTACTCATCGGGCGTGCTGCGCGTGCGCTTCTTGCGGACGCCGGACACGCAGAACAACAACGACTACGAGGGTTGGTACTGGAAATAGTAAAAAATTCTCACTAAATGCTTTTAAGAACTTTTTGCGCATACTAATCGTTAAATTCATACTTGAAAAGCAGTAAAACTGGTTAAAAGGTTATTAAAAAAGTTACCAAAGCTATAAAAATTTTAAAATTAAGATATATCAATTAAAGGGGGTACGATAATTACTTCTAAAACCATTAATTCTAAAATCATTACTTCTAAAATCATTACTTCTAAAAGTCATTACTTCCAAAACATCACCTCAAAAGTCATTACTTAAAAGACATTACTTCTAAAAATCATTACTTCTAAAAACGTTACTTCTAAAATTTGGTACGCCGGATTACCAGTTTTTCGGCACGTTTGGCCATAATTATGCCCAAAACGAAGCTTAGAATTTTAGAAGTAATGACTTTTAGAAGTAATGATTTTGGAAGTAATGACTTTTAGAAGTAAGGACTTTTAGAAGTAATGATTTTAGAAGTAATGATTTTAGAAGTAATGGTGGGTAGCCGTTTTAGGGTAAACAAAAGCCAAAAGAACGCCAAAACCCACCTAGCAACTGTTCCTCGCCAACTGATTGATTTCCCGGCCGATTTCAGAAACCACCGCCAAAAAGCTGCTGCTCTCGCAGGCGACGCCGACGATGAACACGCCATCTACTCAATCATCTCGGGGGACGGCTTGTGGAAAGATGAGGAGCAGCGATCTACAGTTGAGCCGAACGCTGCTCGTCGTCACGAGGTGCGAGAGTTAGGACTTCGAAGAGCATGATGTGTTGAAAGTCTGAGAGGGTCTCCTCCTAAGCCTAAGCCCAAGCCTAAGCAAACCTTAGCCTAAGCCTAATTCCAAGCCTAAGCCTAAGATAAGCCTAAGCCTAAGCCTAATTCCAAGCCTAAGCCTAAACCTAAGCCTAAGCCTAAGCCTAAGCCTAAGCCTAAGCCTAACCTAAGCCTAAGCCTAATTCCAAGCCTAAGCCTAAGCCTAAGCCTAACCTAAGCCTAAGCCTAAGCCTAACCTAAGCCTAAGCCTAAGCCTAACCTAAGCCTAAGCCTAATTCCAAGCCTAAATCCTAAGCCTAACATAAGCCTAAGTCTAAGTCGAAGCCTCAACACTGAAAGAGTTTTTCCTAGAGAGATAAGACGCTTTTCAAAAGTCTAAAAACATGCCGGAAACTCGAACTCTTATTAAAATTCATTTAAAAAAGGTCAACCTATTTCTAGAAAATCAGAAAAGGCCAAATTCTACCCTTGCGTTTAAGCCATTTTTGGGCTGAAAACTAGCCAAAAATACCATTTAAGACACTTACATAACCTCGTCCAGCTCTTTTTAAACTATAAGTAAGCCTAAACGTATAGAAAAACTAACTACCACTTCTATTAACTACTACTTTCTATTCTATAAACCCTTTTCAGCACGTTTGTGCTGCTGAACGTGCCGAACTACGCGCTGCGGCTCTACCAGGAGATCTTCACCACGGACCCGCTGTTCCACACCGTCTACTTTGTCAGCTATCTGCTTTACTATTTCCACCACGCCGTCCTGTTCTACTTTTACATTTTCTGGAGGTAGGGAAGATTTATCTACTAAAATCTAGAATACGAAACGCTTAAATTCATACGAAATCCATTAAAAGAAACGCTAGAAAAGCTTTACTCATCAAAATCTAGATCAGAAAAACTCTAGTCCATAAAATCTGCTATAATAATGATCAAAAAAACAACCTTTCAGCCCACAAATGAAGAAGCAGCTGAAGCCGGCGGCGATGCGGCTCCTCGAGTGCTACTGCTTCAAGACCGTCCCCGAGTTCGGCCACCACTCGACGTCGCTGAACCAGTTCAATAGGAATTAAGAAGAAGCGACATTCATGTGTGCCTTTCACCCCCCTGTGTACTCAATGTTGTAATCTAACCGACGGGTAAACTGATCTATCGAGCATTCTCTCTTGTTCTCAGCGCCTTGCCAAAGATAAAGATTTTCGCGTATGTGAAATGCCTGCAAATCGTAATACAATCGTGTCTGCAGTACAAACCTTAATAGCCAGTTTTATTCAAAGAAATTCAACGGATAGGGCAACTTGAAAGAGGGGACAGTGGCCTGCTTGGGGGCCGGGCATGAACAACGAACGAGCCCTCAACGATAACGGGGGGCCGTAACAGTAAAATGGTGGGGCGGGGAGGGACTAACAAAGATTTGATGGGGGTGTAGCCGAGGAAGAGGATAACAACGAGCAACAAATAACAAAAACGGTCTAGAATAGGTGTACTTATTTTTCGGAGGAACCGCGTCAAGGTGTGCGTGTTCACTCGTCGTCGGAGTCGTCGAACTTGACCGAGTTGACGCCCATCGGGATCGGGCCACCGCCGTAACTACCCTGGAAAAAAGAAGGTTCCTTTGAAAACTCAGAGAAATTTGTCAAAACCGATTCGTTAACGTCATAGTGAAATTCATTTCGAAGCAAATTATGGCCAACGCAATGCAAACGCATAATTTCATCATGTCGAAAAGTTTAGCAGTTTTTAGCCCTTTTTATAGGACTGCGATTGTTTACTAGCTAATCGAATCGGAAAACCCCTACAAACCTTCTTCTTTTTCGTCTTCTCGTGACGGAATCCTTTGCCTTGTGTCTTGCTGAGCGTGGCGTGAGCTTTCTGGCCCCAGACGTCGTGGCTGCCGTCAAAAGCATTGTTGCGGAACTTCTCGGGCACGTCGTCCTTGGTCGTCTGCACACGGCGGAACGGCTCGTTGGATTTCCTCTGAAAATCACAATTTATTGCACCAACTCAGTTAACGACGTACCTTCATCGGCACTGATCGGCGATCGCCACCGCCATTGTGAGCGGGCGTCGATGTATCCATATCTTCATCCTCGACCTCGGCAGCCTTTTTCGTAGCGGGAGTCTGAAAAAATGATTGTAAATCGAGATCAGTTGACTGCGCAATACCTTAGCCTTCACGGGCTCATCGTCATCAGAATCCTCACTGGAAGACGCCTTGGCCTTCGGGGTAGGTTTGGCGACTGCTGGCTTGGCCGGCGTCTTCTTGGCGGCTTCATCATCCGACGAGTCTTCGCTGCTGGATGCAGGCTTCTTGGCCAAGGGAGTCTTCGGGGTAGCCGCTGCTTTGATTGGGGCTTTCTTGGCCGGGGCTTCATCCTCTGAGTCCGAATCATCCGATGACGACTGTTTTTTCTGGGTAGCGGGAGCCTGAAAAGAAAATATTATATATCAAATGGAAAATTAAAGCCTTACCTTGGCAGCAGCCGGCTTGGCCGGGGTCTTCTTCGGGGCTTCGTCTTCGGAGGAATCTTCGCTGCTAGAAGCCGGCTTCTTGGTCACTGGAGTCTTGGCCGTGGCGACAGTTTTGGCAGGAGCCTTCTTTGCCGGGGCTTCATCATCCGAGGAGTCGTCACTGCTTGAGGCGGGCTTCTTCGTGACTGGAGTCTTGACGGCTGCAGCTGGCTTGACTGGAGTTTTCTTGGGGGCAGCGTCATCGTCAGACGAATCCTCAGAAGAGGACGCTTTGCCCTTGGCAGCGGCCGGCTGAAAAAAATTATTATAATTCTAGATTCAATGGCCATAATGCGCAAACAGCTTTTGCGCAAGAACCTTTCTCATCTGTAGTTTTGCAAGAAACTCACCTTTGTTGGGACGGGCTTAGCAGCTGCCTTCACAGGGGCCTCATCATCAGAAGAGTCATCGCTGTCCGAGGTGTCCTTCTTGGCAGCCGGAGCCTTGACAGGGACAGCCTTTGCAGGGACCTTCTTAGCCGGCGGCTCGTCCTCCGAATCAGAATCCTCAGAAGATGACGCCTTCTTGGCAGCGACAGGAGCCTAAAGACAAAGCTAGAGTCGCAAGAATATTTATCATACCTTTACCGGCACCGGTTTCGCGACGACTTTCTTGGGGGCCTCGTCCTCGGAATCGGAATCGTCGGACGACAGCTTCTTCTGGGCAGCCGGGGTAGTAATCTGCAAAAATAAATTCAATACTAGTCCGAAAAAGAAAGCATACGCGCTAAAACATCCAAATGATCTAAATAAATACCTTGGCGAGCGCTGGTTTGGCCGGCGTCTTCTTGGCGGCTTCATCATCCGACGAGTCCTCGCTGCTGGATGCAGGCTTCTTCGCCAAGGGAGTCTTGGGGGTAGCCGCTGCTTTGACTGGAGCTTTCTTGGCCGGGGCTTCATCCTCTGAGTCCGAATCATCCGATGACGACTGTTTTTTCTGGGTAGCGGGAGCCTGAAAAAAAATATTATCTATCAAATGGAAATCAAAGGCTTACCTTGGCATCAGCCGGCTTGGCCGGGGTCTTCTTCGGGGCTTCGTCTTCGGAGGAATCTTCGCTGCTAGAAGCCGGCTTCTTGGTCACTGGAGTCTTGGCCGTGGCGACAGTTTTGGCAGGAGCCTTCTTTGCCGGGGCTTCATCATCCGAGGAGTCGTCACTGCTTGAGGCGGGCTTCTTCGCGACTGGAGTCTTGACGGCTGCGGCTGGCTTGACTGGAGTTTTCTTGGGGGCAGCGTCGTCGTCAGAAGAATCCTCAGAAGACGAAGATTTGCCCTTGGTAGCTGCCGGCTGAAATTTTTTTTTAATACTACATTGCGTTGCAGCAAGAATCAAAGGACCACGGCCGTTGCGCACATCGCTTTTGAAAAATTACGTGAAAAAAGGTTGAACTTTTAGTTAAGTCCCGTTTCTGTTGTGCATACATAGTTTTTCACGAAACTCGCCTTTGTCGGGAGGGGTTTAGCAGCAGAGGTCTTCACGGGAGCCTCATCATCAGAAGAGTCATCGCTGTCCGAGGTGTCCTTCTTGGCAGCCGGGGCCTTGACGGGGGCAGCCTTTGCAGGGACCTTCTTGGCCGGCGGCTCGTCTTCCGAATCAGAATCCTCAGAAGATGACGCCTTCTTGGCAGCGACAGGAGCCTAAAGACAAAGTTAGAGTTGCAAGAATATTTATGATACCTTTACTGGCACCGGTTTCGCGACGACTTTCTTGGGGGCCTCGTCCTCGGAATCAGAATCGTCGGACGACAGCTTCTTCTGGGCAGCCGTGATAGTTACCTGCAAAAATAAATTCAATACCAGTCCGAAACAGCAAGCATACCTTGGCGAGCGCTGGCTTGGCTGGCGTCTTCTTGGCGGCTTCATCATCCGACGAGTCCTCGCTGCTGGATGCAGGCTTCTTGGCCAAGGGAGTCTTGGGTGTAGCCGCTGCTTTGACTGGAGCTTTCTTGGCCGGGGCTTCATCCTCTGAGTCCGAATCATCCGATGACGACTGTTTTTTCTGGGTAGCGGAAGCCTGAAAAGAAAATATTATATATCAAATGGAAAATCAAAGCCTTACCTTGGCCGCAGCCGGCTTGGCCGGGGTCTTCTTCGGGGCTTCGTCTTCGGAGGAATCTTCGCTGCTAGAAGCCGGCTTCTTGGTCACTGGAGTCTTGGCCGTGGCGACAGCTTTGGCAGGAGCCTTCTTTGCCGGGGCTTCATCATCCGAGGAGTCGTCACTGCTTGAGGCGGGCTTCTTCGTGACTGGAGTCTTGACGGCTGCAGCTGGCTTGACTGGAGTTTTCTTGGGGGCAGCGTCGTCGTCAGAAGAATCCTCAGAAGACGAAGATTTGCCCTTGGTAGCTGCCGGCTGAAAATTTTTTTAATAAAAACTTAACTGAACTTTAAACTGAAAACCGATTATCTCAATAGGAAAATCAAGGATTTACCTTGGCAGCGGCCGGCTTGGCAGAAGCCTTCTTTGCCGGGGCCTTCTCATCGTCGGAATCGGAATCGCTGCTGGAGGACGACTGCTTGCGCGCCGCCGGAGCCTTCGCCGCAGCAGCCTTGACCGGAAGTTTGTTCGCTGGAGCCTCGTCTTCGGAAGAAGATGGAATGCCATTGAGGCAAGCGGGCTGAAAAAAAAATTTTTTGTAAAGGCCGGAAAACTGAAACTCGCCAAGGAGTGGTAGTCAAACGTACCCTGGGTGGAAGTGCGCGGGTAGTCACATCATCGGATCCATCGTCGCTTGATTCGCTGTTTTTCGTGCCGGCGTTGGATAGCATCTTTTTGGGCGGCTCCTCGTCGGCTGATCCGGCAGGGCGCTTTCGGGCTTGACGGGCCATCGCATAGAGGTCGTTCGGCGAGGGCACATCGATCATCTTGGCCTAAAACAAAAACATAAAGGTTCTAAGCGAATTATTTAGTTTACAATATCCCAAAAAAACCAACCCTGGCTTGAATCTTCTCGCGAACGGTGGCGCTGAACATCTTTTGCACGGCCTTCGGATCCTTCTTGCTGTAGTGCATGTAGACGACCGTGTCGAAATCGAGCCCGGGGTCATCTCCGAAGTTGCTCATTTTTACCTAAACAATGCTCATCATTTGTGCAACAACTGTACAAAAGAAAGCGAGCAATGCGGAAAACAAGGCGATCAGATTCTTGAAGACCTGAGACAAAAAGAGAACTCGTAATTGGAGAAGGGTAATAACAACGCAAATCATAGAAGTTTACAAAAGCACAATATGGAAAGGAGGCGTAGAGAGAGCGGGCAAGACAAGTACAGATTAAGCAACTTCAAAGTTTTTCCGCTTCAGTCGTTTCTTTTTGCTGGTTTTCTTGACATGTCCCTTTTGCTGATTGGGCTTGGGTTCGTCGCGTGCCGCCACCTCGAGTTGCTTCTTGGCTACCCGCTCCTCTTTGAACAGCTTGTAGTTGACGTATTTACTCTTCTCCGGGGCGGCACCGAGGGCTATTGCCATTCGCTTCCTGGCAGCCGACTTTTCCTCTCCAACGAGCCCTTCCGCGACGACCAGCTTCTCCACTTCAAATTGCACCTTTTTCAACACGGGTGCCGCGGGCTCCACATTGGGCCGCTTCTTCTTCAGGATTTTCGGCGCAGCGTGTACGGGCACGAAATTGCGGTGGGTGTGGACCTCAACTTCAGCATTTTCGTGTCCTGATGCTGGGATATCCGGTAAGCTGTCCGCGAAGGTCGTAGGGGCCATTTTGTCGAGCAACTCGTCAAGTGTCTTCTTTTGTCGAACCTTGGAGCCAAAGAAGGCGTCGACTGGCGCTTCCCAATCATCCATGGCGGGGCGCTGAAAAAAAGGATAGTATTTACCACCGGAAAACGCAATAGAAAGATAGGTGAGAACAATAAAATGCATTGACAATAGGGGCAGCTTGGGATCACGGACAAACAAAGAGTGAAAAGGAAGTGACAGTTACATAAACCACTAATATAAGTTCTCGGAAAAGCCACATTCGGCTGAATCGCATTTACAGAAGATTTTCTTCTGACGCATCACTTCCCACCATCCAGAATTGTAGCTGATTGTCAATTCCTCGTCCCGGACGATGCGCTTGACAGCAAAGAGACAGATGTGCACGAGCGGATCTCCATTCCTTTCCACCTCATACGCGCAGACGTTTGGATCGCAGCTGTGGTTGATGAAACGGGTAATGTTGCCGAACTTTGTCGCATCGAGTAGAACATTCTTTCCGGCATAGGTTGCATCGTAGAGATGTTCACTGGATGACTCTTCGTATTTGACAACTTCGCCGGCGTATTCGGCGATGAAAGTACCGGGCTCGATCGTCTCCTTTGCGCGCAATCCCCAGCCGCAACGATACGTCTTGAAGACCTAAGAAAAAGGGTTAGACCGAAAAGCAACAAAGGCCCTGATAATCGAGAAAAGCAAGCTCTGGATAGAGAACAAAACATGGTAATTACCTCAAATTTTCGAAGAATGCCCTGCTGGGTAGGCCGACATTTTGCGCTTCCTTCCGGGCAAGAGCACGCCGGTCCACATTCTTTCAACGTCTTCTCGGTTGGGTCAAAGGGGTGGTTATTAGGGCCGAGGCGGAGCGCGCCTTCTTTGAATTCAGATGACGGGCACGAGCATTGGTGACAGGCCGTTTTTGAAGTGCTCGGCGCCGCCGGGACGCAAATTCTGACCGCTTTGGCATAAGTGAAGGGCGGCGGTTTCGTGTAATCAACTGCATTGACGACCGGCACCGGGAATTTTTCCGATCCATTTGTTAGGTCTTCTACAACGGACATCTGCAAGGAAAATAGGATAAAGCAGGACAGCCATGACGAAACGAGAAAGCCAGAAGCAACGAGGGTCAGGTTAGAGCAGTTGGAGAAGCGATAGGCGTCAATGAAAAGTGATCTCTAGGGTCCAGAAAAAGATTTTGCCATCGCAAAAATTCGAAAAAATGAGGGCGAGAGCAGTGGGCAAGGGCTAAAAGGCAGCGTCTGCGCTCTAACCAGGGGCTACGATTGCCCTCCCAACAAAACGGACAAGCAATACCCAAATTTGGTAACGGGAAGTAAAAGCTTCTCTCTAGTTTTGCTTCAAAATTCCGAAAGTGGAAAAAGGTGGGGCCATCTTACATGGCCATACACATGACGGATTCCGTTCGTTGCGGGATCCCGGAACCTATCTTTTTAGCTTTTTTTCTTCTTATGCATCTCCTGTGACAGTTTTTTTAAAACTCGATTAAACTAGAAAAATTTACCCGGAGCGCCGTCAATCCCGGCCTCCTTTCAAGTTGCTCCACCTTGAAACCTCTCTATTGCTATTTTTCGCTTGGGGGTACCTTGTCCGACTTTTCTGAATACCTTTTAGCTAGGAGAAGCATTCCGGAAGCGTTGTTGCGCCGTTTAGAGCTTCCGCGGTGTATTTAATACGTGCAAGCCAACCAGGCCAAATCGCTGTATATCTTAGCCTGTCTTTTCAACAAGTGCTCTGTCCCGAATTCTCAAGTCTTTAGCTAAGAAAAGCATCTCCTGAAGCGTTCTGTCTAGAGCTTAACGGTATCTTTGATGTATGTGGATAACCCGTTCTGAAACCAGCTTGTCCTCTTCAGATATTGCTAGGAGCCACAACTGTATATTCAATTCATGCAAATCAATCCTTGTGTGCAACCATATATTTTCAAAAAGCTTTATTCATTGAGAAGCGGTAGCGATCTAGGGGTTGTACTCGATGGGGAGGTTCTTCCTGCGGACCATGCCGTCGCCCTGGAACCACTCGCGGCGGAACTGCTTGGCGGCGCCGTCGGGGGTGTTGGTCCACTCGATGGTGACACGGTCGTTATTGGTGTCCTCAGCGCCGAACTGGAAGGAGTCGCACGACACGGCCACCTAGAAGAGTGGGGATAGAAGATGCATGCATCAGTTGCAAGCGGTTCAAGGAGTCCAAAAGCACTCACCAGAACCTGCTCCTTGGGGTCGAGGACACCGCACGGCGGGTCGACTCCGAGGCGCTTCATGTTGGTGGTCTTGAAGGCCCATCCGATGCGGCGGCCGCCAGAGTTGATCACCTTGATGTGGTAGGTGTGCTTGTCATCGTAGGGGGCGTTGAAGACAATCTTCGTGCCGGGCTGGGTGGTGATGTCACCGGGAGCGACGGATTGGGCCATCTTCGAGGTTGAAGTTTGGGGTGCTGTTGGAAGTAGATCAGCTTGTTTTATACGTGGGAACGCATGTAAATTGGGTGATGGAGAATAGGGATTTCCGGATTTTGTGTGTTTTATGCTGATTTCCAATTCGGTTTTGTATTTTCCAGGGGTAGCTAAAAGGGCCTGATTTTAACCTAGGAGTAGCTTATTTTCGAGAGACTTCCTACTCTTCTACCATCTTTCCCTTGCCATTTGGTCGGTCAGAGCCCCTTTAAGAGGGTCGTTGGTTTTCTAGGGTTTCCTCTACCGTGCTTCACAAATTGAGGGCATCTGAAGCCCCTCTCTTATCCTTTCAGCCCGCCGGCACATCCAGCCTCCCTATGATCATCGCCCCTTTCGTGCCGCCCAGAGCCGACCCCCTGGGGTGGGGGTTCCCTTTAGTGCCCCTACGGAACGCACCAATCCAACTGACGGGGGTCACCTTGTCCCCGATTTGAAAAACGCTCCAGGGGAATAACCAAATACAGCCCCTAAAAGGGCCGCGCTTCCGTCCCGGTATCAGGCGGTCAGGGGATCTTGATAAGCTAGAAATAGTGCCAAGATATCCTCATCTTTTATCGATCGATTTCCGGGGCAGAAACTCTTTGAATTTGATTTCCTTGATTCTTTTTCTGATTCTCTTTTCTCAGCGTTGATTTTTGCGATATTTTTAATCGGTACATTTTCAGACGGGTAGATGCCCAGGCAACGCTCGGGAACGCCTGGAAGCTCGGGCTCGTTGAAGGAGAATAGCCAGCCGGCTGCAAGGGCCCCGGAACGAAGTAGCCCGAGAAAGGTAGATTTTGATAGTTTACGAAATTTTGCGGTTGGAATTGAGCGTGTAGTGGAAAATTGTGAATTTCGGGGAAAGACACTTTTCTTGCACTGAGCTTACGATGGTGTTGACAAATTCTAAATTTTATTTCTCGAATCCGACGCGAAAGATATCTTTTTTTGTCGTAGGAAGCCTCAAAATATTTCTTTTTTTTTTCCAGCACAATATCGAGGCTAAGGATGTGGCCGCGCAGCTTGGCCGACCGGTGACGCGAGCCCGGCTCAGCGGTGAGAGCGATCAAACGTCGGGAAGGCCTACAAGTAAGACCGGTTTTTACATCTCTGATTGGTTTTTAGAGTTGGCCTCTGCCGCTAAGAACAAGAACAACGAGGCCCAGCCCAATGCCGCAGCGACATCATCGTGTTCCGAAGCCCCATCGCAGCCGAGGAAACGGGGACGGCCGAGCCTGCCGGGAACGGCACAATCAAGCGCTGCAGCGACAAGCAATAAGAATTCGACCCGCCCCAGCCTTCAGGAGGCGCCAAACGTTGATAAAGGTAATTTCGAGGCATTTTGCTATTTCAATCCGTCTAGAAAAATACCTTTGTAAGTGCTTTGAACTCATTGGTCGCCCAATCAGAAACTCAAATCCTTAGCAAGTAAAGCGAATTCATAGCTCGCAAGGCTTCCCTCGCTCTTTCTCGCCAAAAAATGCCAAAAATTTGTAATAAGCTGTCCATGGTTCTTTTTCAGCGGGCCTATCCCAAAGTGCGAAGAGTTTTCGTACTCAGTTACGAAAAATAGATCCTCTTTTCCCCCTATGAAATTTCCGTCCAATCTCTGCCTTCTACCACTTTTCTGCGAGGAATAGAGTATACAATATTTGTTTTTAGAATTGACCTCCGCTGCTAACAACAGGAACAACGAGGCTCAGTCCAATTCTGCAGCGACATCAGCATCAAGTGCGCAAGGCCCTTCGCAGCCGAGGAAACGGGGACGGCCGAGCCTGCCGGGAACGGCACAATCAAGCACTGCAGCGACGGACAAAAAGAAGTCGGGCCGCCTCAGCCTGCAGGAGCCGCCAAACGTTGATAAAGGTAATTTCGAGGCATTTGTGGTATTTTAATGTCCGTAGATTCGAACGGTCGCCCTCATTTGCGGAGCGGCGATGTCCGACATCGCAGTGGAAGCGGTGTGAGCGCGCCGATTTTTGAACTCTCTGGTAAGCCGCTCACGATTTTCCATATTTATTGTGTTTTTTACAGAGAGCGTCTCGCCAGTACGAGATCGCACGAAACGACGCAGTAATGGCTCAACTCCACCCACCATCAGCCGCTTCACTTTGGCGAAGAGACGGGCCACTTCAACGAGAAAGGCGATTCCGCAAGGAATTTCGGCTTTCTCCATAGTCGGTACGATTTTGAAAACTTTCTTCATTGTTTTTTTTGCAGATACTTGGGCCAGGCTAAGCAAGGACGAGCCGAAAAGAAAGACGCAAATGGTGCTGCGAGACCATTCATTGGCTCTGGTTCGTGGATTGACTTTTTTCTTGAGTTTTCGATTTTTTTTAGCAGCCGTTGAGGAAGAGAACGAAAGACTGGGTACACGACGTTGCAGCACGTTTAAAGGTAAACAGTCTTTTCGAACAAATCTTATTTCTAATTTTAGGCCACGGCTGACAGGACGGTCCTTTGGGCTGATGTGGCAGCAGGGCCGAATATACGCTTACATGGTATTTTTTTTTGTTCATTTTGGCTTTTGTACTGAAGGTTTTCTATTTATTTCGATTCGACTCTATTCATTGTTTTTAGCCGACATCATGTACATCAAGATGCAAGTCGCAAAATTCTACAAGGACGGCGCCCACCACCTCGAGGATCGCGGCCGCTGCTTTCTCGACGTCACAAACAAGACCAAACAAGAGATCGACTTCTCCTTCGATGAAGATGAGCTGGCTCGTCTGAGGTAATCGTCTCGCTGTCTTTGAAGTTGCTAGATTCATTATCTCGCAGTTTTGAGATGTTTATTTATATCCGCTTTATGAAAAATCTGCCGTGAAGTCCTTCAATAATGGTCTGAAAATTGCGATATTTGAAAAAAGAGTTCTCAGGTTACTATAAATCCCTTTTTTTAGCTCCGCCTTTTTCGTCGTCACCGCGCGCTACAAATGTCTGAGGACCGAAAAGCGAAAAACCGACGCCGGCTGCTACCAGCTGATGAAGACCAGCGGCGTGCTCGAGGTCGGCCGAAAAATCGGCAACCCAATCGTGCTATTGTGGGTTTTTCTTTACTTTTTAATAATTTTTGTTAAGCGATGCCAAGAAGCACCCCGGATATGCGAGCTCGGCGGAGACGTTGACAAAAATGTGCGCCACGACTAGAAAGGTAAATTTTCCTGTTTTTGTAGTTTTTTTTTGAAGACTATGATGAAATAAAGATCGAATTAAACTCCTTTTTCCAGCTGGATTCGAGCGCGCCGGACTATCGCAGCCTGACCGTGGCCCTCGAAAAGTTGAAGCCCCGGCAGCCGCAAAACGCGATTCCGCCGCGGGCTGATGGCACTGGAGAGCAATCGCCGCTCAGGTTAGTTCACTTATTCATTAAAATACCATTTATTTTTAGTTATTACTGGCTCGACGACGGCGTGAAGCGTAGTCTGGCCGCTGAGGTGCCGTTCGGCATGCCGTTTCCCGGAATGACGAAACGGAGCTTCGTCTCCGTCGACGACCTTCTGGAATACCTGAACTCTACGACGGTGTTGTCATTTCAACGTGAGGAGGTGCGTTTGTTATTTTTTTAAACTTTTGTTGCTTATTATTATTTCTATGCCAATTTTATTGTTCCAATTTCAGGACGAGTCGAGTAACATCATCGTGGGCCCGGCGACGTTCGTGTTGCCCAAAGTGCCCGAAGCGCCTCTTCACAACGTCCGCACGACCGGCGGTATTTCCGTTTTTATTGTCAGCATTTTTCCGTTTAGAATACATCACCGTCCGGCCATACCCATTCCAACGAGTCAAGCGCTGCGACGGCGATCGGCACACTCTCCCGTTGGGCCTTGACGAGTCCTGCTATATTCGCGAGTACGAGGTATGATTTTTACTTCTTGATGGGCGTTTGTAACCGTTTTTCTCTTTCTGCGACATTTTTTACCCTAATTTGCTTTAGGAAATGGAAGATGACGTTGACCGCCGTCGTCCAGCGCCGCCCGGTGAAGCGCAGTTCCTCAGCTTGTGGAACTACGCCCTCCGCCACCACAACCGATCGGTCGTCGACTCAACCGAGGGCTTCAGGCTATTGGTGTGTTTTTTTAGAATTTGAAATTTTGGCACATGGCATTTACTACTTTATGAATTTTCAAAGACAATTTTGTAACGTTTTTACGCTAGAAAAATTAAGGACATGAATTTTTATTTGAATTCATAACTTTTTTTGTTTCAGCGCCACTTCCACAGCGAATACGTGCCGTTGCTGGACGCTCCGGGTCAAGATTTTTGGGCGATGCACCTTGACGAGTGCGAGGTTTGGGAGTTTTACCTAGATTATTGGGTATTTTTTACAGAAAGCCAAACTCATCGGCGCGATGGAGCGGATGGCGCTGCTCTCGGGCGACTTCAGCGTTTGCGACAAGTTCGAGCAAGACCGGGCGCGCGCCGTGCAGGATGACTTTGCTGAGGTAATTTTGGAGTTTGGTTTTATTTACTTCGTTTTCTTTAGGAGGGGCCGACGGTCGAGATCGGCGAGGAATCTGAAGGCGAACAAGACAATGAACCGCCGGTAAATTTTTGTTTGTTTTTCCCCGATAAATCCAGCTATGTTTAGTATTGTAAGGGAAAATACTATGATAGTTTTTAAATAAGCTTCTTGCAAATGGCAAGTAATTTATGGAACCTCTTAAAATTTGAAAATTCGGTCAGGAATCTAAATTTTCCATTCAAAATTTGTAGAATTAACTTTTCCGTTGCTTTTCTTTTTTGATAGCTTTCCTACATTTACTAGATAAAGATTTTGACTTGATTTTTAGAAAAAGTCAAGGAGGCGCGTCCGCACAACAACTTCTTCTTCGTCGACGGCCGGCTCCAAGCCTCTCAAGCGGAAGCGGCGAACAAGTCAAGGCGGCCCTCAGGTTTGATTGGTTTTTTAAAATATTTGAAATTTTTTAAAGGAAGCCTGCCCGGCGGCTTCGTCAAGCCGTGCGCCGTCCCGCGTGAAGAGCGCCAGGAAGCACGCGGCCGGCCCCGATGACACCCCGTTGAGCCCGTCGCGAATTGGTCAAACAAGGATGGCGAAGCGCATCGTGGACGAGGTCAAGAAGATGGCGCCGCTCACCAAGGACAAGAAAAGGCCGTCCGTTGCGCCCGGACCGAGCAAGAGGAATCGGTTTGAATCGGTAAGCTTATTTTTATACTGTATCCGATTAATTTTATATTATTGGTTATTTCATTTTTTCATTCGAATCATTTGAATAGATTTTTTTACTAAAATTTAGCTAGCTTATAGGCGTGGCAAAAATCTTGAAACCTCTGAAGTGCGTGAAAATTTTAAATTTGGGTAGAATTAGTTTTTTAGAAATGTTACAAAATAGGTTTCAAAATAGCAAAGTTTACTATGTTATTTAGCTTTGAAGATAAAATAGCAAATTTGGATTGATTTTCTTTTTTCAGAGCTCGATCGCCGCCTGAAGCCACCAGCAGCCGTCAACCGGGAATCGACATGGCCTTCTCTTCCACGCACGAAATAATACCTCCCATGTCTTACCGTTTGTACAATTTGTTGTTTCAAATTCCCTGCCCCCCGATACGTGTAACGCTTTGAGCGCACCCCCCTACTGCCGCACATGCATGATCTCCCATTTGCAGCTTGTTAATTTCTATGTTGATATGTTGTCTTAAAATAAATTGTCTAAATCAAACAGTTGTATTCCTCGCCAGAATTTGATTGTAAAAGAAGCACGGTGGTTTTTATTGGGTTGGGAAGAATTGAAGAAGAACATCTTGCTTTTGTTTGGGATTTTGCTGCATCTTCTTGGGGTTTGGGGTGTTTGCAAGTATCGCTTAACAGTATTTTGGCCCTAGAACTGCGTTTTGTCGTTAAAGTATACGCTGATACCTTAGATTTCTAATGACGTTTTAGTAATACGAAGTTTAGGTTGACTTTCTTTCTTTTACAGAGTTTACTTAACAAATCCTAATAAGCTAGCCGTTAATTTCAGAGATTTTTGATGATAGAGAGAGACTTTTTTTGCCATTAAAACTTTAAGGTATGGCAAAGATGCTTCATATATTGTTTTCTTTGCGAGCAGCATTGGGTGTAGTCGGCTTCGTTCATTTTACCTTTATCTTTTTAGGAATGGAAACGCTGAGCGTCAACACCAGAGACTACGACAAGGCTTTTCCCGCGTTTGGGCCGCCAATCTCCCTCGGCGAGTACACGTTGAATGAGGAGCGAAAGGTTAATTTTAACGTTTTTAATTAGGTAAATGATAACGCGTGTTCAACGCGATTTTCACTTTTACGCCCCCGCAAAAGGTTTTTTTCCTGTATTTCATGTTGATTATTCGAAGGAATTTCGGCGTTTTTTGAACAGTAGGGCGCGAATAGGCGTAAAAGTATTTTAAAACCCTAAACCTATGTTAATACCTCTAAATACCTACAGGTGACGCTCGGCCGCGCCGAAGCACGGTACCTCTACGCGGCGCTCGTCGGCGGCAGCGCCCTGCGGCTCGATTTGAGCGCCGGATTCGAGACGTTTCGCAAGAAGGTAAAGTTAGGCATTTGCTACCCTTGACCCTTGTTTTTTCAGCCAGGCGACGAGAGGCTGAACGCGCTGCTCGCCTGGATATGCACACAATCACCGCCGGGCGGCCACCTCAAGCGGGTATTTTGAACTTTAGAGCTTTTTATGCTTTTTTTTAGTGCTTACACGAAGCGGACTTCGTGTCGTGGCGCGGGATGTTGACGAAAATTGCGGCCACCCCGTTCTCGATGGACGACGATTGGATGTTTGAGGCGCGAAAGGTGCAGGGTACTGGTTTTAATTATCGGAATACTTAATCCTATAGTTTTAGATGTTTTTAGTGATTTTTTTTGTGCGAATCTATAAAAAACTTTTTTCTAAGTATCTAACACCTATCTATTTTCTAATCAACGTTTTAGACGTCATCTTCCTGCTGGAGCGCGAGACGGAGGCGCAAGGATTAAAGTGGGAGCATTCTTCATTTGTTAAGACTTTCCTTTTTGTAGAAAAGGCCTGATGACCCCGCGCGAGCACCTGATGACGTACTGGGGCTTCAAGTTCGAGCAGTACGCCACAATTGCAGAGCCCGGGGTATAGTTTATACTTTTTCGATTGAGCCTGAGTTTTAGGGCCAACCGTCAACAGCCGAGCCGGTCAGCCAGCTCGACGAGTTCGGCGTCGTCGTCAAGTCGCAGCTTCAGACGGCCGACGACCCGTTGCAGCTCGTCTACTCGGGCGAGGTGGATTGTATAGATAGCGGTAAGGCGCATTGTCGAGATTTCGGTACTGGACTGTTAGCGGGGGAATACAACGTATAAAATTATATGAGAAAATCAGAATTCCGTTATTTTCATGATTTTTTATCAGTTTTCTTTATGCTTGAAGCGTTTCCTACTGCGTTTTTATAAAGTTTTAGCCGTTTTTTTCCTAGAACGTGATAAACTACGTTTATAAAATGGTAAACATTCAAAATTAGGTGGAAAAATCAAGTTTTCGTTGTTTAAATTATTTTTCATGAAATTTTCTATTTAAAACGAGCTATGTATCCTACTATATATAAAAAAATAGTGTCTGTGTGTGTGTGTGTGTGTGTGTGTGTGTGTGTGTGTGTGTGTGTGTGTGTGTATATTAGCATGCAACTTCCGTAAGTATGTACCGCACCTACAGCCTCAGGGGAAGGTTTTTGAGGTACGTATGATACGTCATCAGGTGCGTAATGGTCCCGAGATGGGTGCACACATATAAAATTGAAGAAAATCGGCTGTTTTCGCTATTAAAATTAAGTTTTTGTAAATATATCGAAAAACCTCTTTGTTAGGAGGCAATTAGCATTGACCGGAAGTGGCCGTAGCCTATAAAAATGGAGGGAGCGTGCGCTTTTCATTTTTTGGTGAGCGGCATTCGGCAAGCCATATGTAAAGTCAATTTTTCAGAAGTCCTAGACGGGTCCAGGGTTGAAAAGCCGCGAAGCGGTTTTTCAACCCTGGTATGATGTGTATCAACTATAATAATTTTGCTGTGGTCTCCGTCTGTCTGTCTGTCTGTGTGAAGCCGAATTCAACTCGAAGGGGAAAGGAGCTAGAGCTTAGCTCTCTTCGGATTCGGATAGAGCGCCGTCAGAAACCCCCAAACTGATAAAAAAATTATTAAAAAGTTTTAGTTTAAATTATTAAAATTAACTTTGAAAGTTTTTCCTTAGTAAAAGGAGTGGGGGCCCCTTTCCCGGGAGGCCACGCCCCCTTTCTCTTCGCCCATCTTCCCCAGGCCCCTTCCCGCGCCCAAATAGCTTTTTAAGTTACTTTAATACTTTTAATACTTTTTAATACTTTTTAATACTTTTTAATTATGCTAATTAATTATTTAAATCATCTGAAGCCATCGGGAAGGTATTTAGGTAGTTTTTGAAGGGGATTTCAGCCATGGGGGGTATCCGAAGCCATCAGGAAGGTATTTAGGTAGTTTTTGAAGGGGATTTCAGCCATGGGGGGGTATCTGAAGCCATCGGGAAGGTATTTAGGTAGTTTTTGAAGGGGATTTCAGCCATGGGGGGTATCTGAAGCCATCAGGAAGGTATTTAGGTAGTTTTTGAAGGGGATTTCAGCCATGGGGGGTATCCGAAGCCATCAGGAAGGTATTTAGGTAGTTTTTGAAGGGGATTTCAGCCATGGGGGGTATCCGAAGCCATCAGGAAGGTATTTAGGTAGTTTTTGAAGGGGATTTCAGCCATGGGGGGTATCCGAAGCCATCAGGAAGGTATTTAGGTAGTTTTTGAAGGGATTTCAGCCATGGGGGGTATCTGAAGCCATCAGGAAGGTATTTAGGTAGTTTTTGAAGGGGATTTCAGCCATGGGGGGTATCCGAAGCCATCAGGAAGGTATTTAGGTAGTTTTTGAAGGGGATTTCAGCCATGGGGGGTATCCGAAGCCATCAGGAAGGTATTTAGGTAGTTTTTGAAGGGATTTCAGCCATGGGGGGTATCCGAAGCCATCAGGAAGGTATTTAGGTAGTTTTTGAAGGGGATTTCAGCCATGGGGGTATCCGAAGCCATCAGGAAGGTATTTAGGTAGTTTTGGAAGGGGATTTCAGCCATGGGGGGTATCTGAAGCGATCAGGAAGGTATTTAGGTAGTTTTTGAAGGGGATTTCAGCCATGGGGGGTATCTGAAGCCATCAGGAAGGTATTTAGGTAGTTTTGGAAGGGGATTTCAGCCATGGGGGGTATCTGAAGCCATCGGGAAAGTATTTAGGTAGTTTTTGAAGGGGATTTCAGCCATGGGGGTATCTGAAGCCATCGGGAAAGTATTTAGGTAGTTTTTTGAAGGGATTTCAGCCATGGGGGGTATCTGAAGCCATCAGGAAGGTATTTAGGTAGTTTTTGAAGGGGATTTCAGCCATGGGGGGTATCTGAAGCGATCAGGAAGGTATTTAGGTAGTTTTGGAAGGGGATTTCAGCCATGGGGGGTATCTGAAGCCATCGGGAAAGTATTTAAGTAGTTTTTGAAGGGGATTTCAGCCATGGGGGGTATCTGAAGCCATCAGGAAGGTATTTAAGTAGTTTTTGAACGGCATTTCGGCTATCGGGGGTATTGATGGAGGTGGGAAAGGATGTGGTGGAGTGGGACATGTAGGGTAGCCCGAAGGCCAGATGGTTGCAGTCGCGAAGCGACTGTAACCATCTGGTTTTATTATTAGGGTCCCAGCCCCCCGCTAAAAGTCCAGTACCGGAAGCCACTTCCCGATTTCAGCCGGCACACTGCTCGAGCTGAAAACGCAGCGACAAGCGTTGACGGGCGGTTTCTGGCGCTACAAGTCGTTGAAATGGTAAAAAAAAGTTGCAATTTTTTATTCAATTTTTTTACAGGTGGATTCAATCGTTTCTGCTCGGCATCCGGACGATTGTCGTCGGCTTCCGCGATGATGCCGGATACGTTAATAAAGTAATTTTTCTTCTTATCAATAAAACAATCCTTTTTAGGTGGACACGGTGGCGGTGAACGATCTGCCGAAGCAGGGCCAGTGGCGCGGCAACGTGTGCTTCAACTTTCTCGGGCACGTCTTGGCGAAGGTAAAATTTATCGGCGAGGCGAACGATCAATACAAGTACATACAAAAATTGTGATTTCAAAAAAGGAAATTGTTATGCGGCCTGAAAGTGGGCGTCGAGGCGGCCGGAACGGCTGGGCGGCCAGATGCGGTAGACGAGGCGGACCTGAAAAATGTTTGATTATTTAGCTTAGAAGAGGAACAGGATCTCTATAAATTGATATACTTTTTCAGGTTCTTTCGCATTATCGGGGGGACCAATTTTTTAGGATATTTTTCAAATATAAATAGTGTTAGTGTTTCTAAATGGTTTTTTACTATTCCTAAGCGTTAAAACTTTACAAATTTTATTAAAAAATCAAAAATATAGATTTTTCGACCAAAAATGGCCGATTGTTGGCCAACATTTCGACTTTTCTAAAGGTTTCAATAGTTTAACTCGTTGAAATACAGTTACATATTACTAAAAACGCCCTTAAGACACTTTATATTAAATTACTAGGCATTTCTAGACTTATACAAAATTCTGTTCCCCCCACCGATAATGCGAAAGAACCTTTTAAAAGCAACCTGGATCAATCCTTCCGGGATCGGGCCAAAGTGCCGCGAGTCGGACGAGGCGGCCGCGTTGTCGCCCCGGACCCAGACGTGGCCGAGCGGTACCCGGTTGACGGGCAACAAGTGATGGTTCACGACGTCGCCTTCCTAGAATAAAAGAGTTTTCGATCTGCTTATTTATTTCTAGTTCTAGTTCTAGTTTTGGTTGTTCTATGTAATGTTCTAGTTGTAAGGTCAATTTTGGAATAGCGAGCTTTCGACTTTCGTTGAAATTATGATTTAGATGATTTATCATTATTTTTCCCAGTCTAATCAAAAAGTTAGGATTTTTCTCCTTTTAATAATAAAAACAACTTAAAACAAAAATAAACTTAAAAGCGTCTATCGATAGGCTGTTTTTGATCCTTGACATAAAGCTCTAATAACCGACCTTGGCGGCTAGCCGCTTGCACAGCAACAGCCGATGGTTGTTGGGGTGCAGGAAGCCGACGATGTCCCCGTTTTTCAGCTCGGTCTCCTCGGCGGGGGTGTAGGCTAGAAAATAAAAATAATTATTAGCAGAAAACTAGAAACTCACGTAAGCGCTCGCCAACGAGGACATCGCCCTCCTGGATCGTGGGCAACATCGACGGGCCGGAGCAGATGACGAACTCGCCGAGGGCGTTGGCTAGAAAGAAGAATACTTAGAAAACAATATTTGGTAAGAGTTTACTTTACCCCCCCACAGCCGAAGGGTCTCAAAGTTGTCGGTATTTTCGCTTATTTTGTCGGGATTTTCGCAACGCCATTCGATAGAGCGTCGAAAAATATACTAAGAGTTTTAATATGAGCCTACAATAATGTAAAATAAAAAAGTTATAGCCAAAACATTCCGGCTGGGGGGGTAAAGTAAACCGTAGCCCAATATTTTGAACGTACCGACGCTGTTGAGGACACAATAGCCTAGCCCGCCGATCGCAAGCGATTTTCCGCAATTCCGTAGTAGGCGTCGTAGCTGGAGTTGGGTGAGCATTGAGGGCTGAAAATTCACTTTAGTGGTGGAAATCAAAAGGGAAAACAATAATAGAAGAAAAGAATGGCTTGGAAAATATGATTTTAATTGCGGAAAATCCTAATTTAGTAGCAAAGTAGCAGAATAAAGGAATCAGGCAACGAATTATGATCTTTTTAGGTCAAAACGGCTTGAAAAATAGGGTTTTACTCAAGAAAAATCATAATTGAGTAGAAAAAAAGCAGACTAAAGCAATATAGCAACTAATTTTTATCTTTTTAGGTCAAGAAAGTGCTGGAAGAGAACGACGTGCCCGAGCCGATGTGCCGCGTCTCCTACAGCCCAAAGACGAGGAGCATCACTTTTCAAAAGGTATCAAAAAGCGCTTTGTCTCTAGTTTGAAGTTTAGGTTTCCGGCGAAGACTTCATCACCCCGGAATTCAGACGGCATTTCGCCGCCGAACCATCATAATCTTCAACCCCGCAAGAAAATACTCGTGTTGAAATATTCGTTTGCAAGTTGTTATGCTCGATTTTTTGGCGCCTCGTTTTTGCACATAAACATTTATTAAGGCAAAAGTGCGAAGCGATGTACACGTCAGACAACTGTTAATCACAATGCAGAAATTTTAAACGTCGATTCGTGAGAAGCCGGGCGCTAAAAGTGGCTGCACGTGTGACGGCCGAGCAGTTGGAAGCTAAAGAAAGAGAAATTGGTTTTTTTAAAAAGTCCTGGCTTACCCCGGGTTGGCGACCTGGTAGGGGGCCATTCTGAAAAAAAGTGTATTAGTTGGGGTTTTGCAGCTCGAAAAAGCGTGCTTTTCAGGCGATAACTTTGGTTTTGCTATGTGATATAGCTCATCTGATCGAACTTGAGGTTCTAAGCAACTTCCGTTTTCGAAAAACTGCCGAATTCGAGCTGTTTTCACTAAAGCGTTTCTCCAGATTTAATTTTTGATAAGTTTTCTCAAAACTTGAGAAAAATCGAGGTATCCAGAACGGTTGCCTCGAATATCGTTATCGTTTTCTAATTTTCGAAGATAGAACTTGTTCAGAATTTAAAGCTCTATTTAATGAACTATTTCCTGTCGTAAAACTTCTTTTTTCACCTGAAACAAAGCCCTTTCACAAAAATAGCACCTGAAGAAGTCCTTGCGATCCTTGGCGAGCGCGTTGGCGAGCTCGGGCCGGACGGCGTCCTGCTGGTTCGGCTCGGCGATGCGCAGCGCCACCTCGCCCAACACTAAAAAGTATGTAGGGTTTTAATAAGTTAATTTCATCGTTATTTATGGTTTTTAGATATTTTATTCGTTTCCAAGCAAAAAAGGCGATGCTTCCGCTTGAATAGTCGCCAAAAAAGTTTATAAGCGAGCAGCTGCCCTAAAAACTCGCCCTCTTTCAGCGTGATCGTCGGCTTCCAGTTCTTCGGGTCAAGGCACGGCAGGTTCACCTTAAAAATAGAAAAAAACGTTTAGAACGGCTTAAAATGCCAACCTCGCCGGTGAGGGCGACCGCCGGGTGGTGGATGTACTTGGTGATGGTGACGACGGGCGGGGCGAACGGGTACTCGGCCGGGATTTTTACCTGTTAAGCTGATCTTCAGCAGGGTAGCTTTAGCGGCTTCTCAACCGATTACGACATGATTCCGAACGCGCCTATTGACGCCAGAACATTCAGTTGTGTAAAGCGTTCAAAAGAGGTTAGAATTTTTTAAAGTAGGCTTCTAATTCTTTAAAATAAAGGTAATTTCGGCAATATTATTTCGAAATACTTGCCAGAACTGGGTAGCGCAGATTCGCGAAGGCTTTCCACTGGAAAAAGCAGATTTAGGGTCCGGGGGAAAATTGTCGTATCCGGTCACTAAACGGATTTTGGATTTTTAGATGTCAAAATGCTCAGCAGGTCGAGCTGATTACAGATCAGTTGAAAAAACTTTTGGGAAACACTTCTAGCTCGAGATATGAAGCTTCAAAGTTGGCAACTGAAGTATCCGGTCACTAAACGGATTTTGGGTTTTTATATGCCAAAATGCTCAGCAAGTCGAGCTGATTACAGATCAGTTGAAAAAACTTTTCGAAAACAGTGCATTCGCGAGATATCTGTGTTAAAATGCCGTCCAATAACCAGAAATATTTGAAACTGAGGTGGGGCAATCGAGTACGTATGGCAACACATTGCGGAAATCGGAATGAGTACAAGGTGGAACAGCCGGGCGATAGGTTTTTTTGCTTGTTTTTTCAAATTCCTTGTCATTATCCCATCTCAAAATGAAGGCTCTCAAAAACTATAACATTGTCAGGCAAGGTGGGCCGTCGCTTCGGATGGGCTGCCGCTCCCCCTTCCGAAATGGGGGCGCCCCGGCCGCTTCGCCGGCCTTGGCGCCCCATTTCGAAACCCTTACGAGCTCGCGCCCATCCGAAGCGACTAGGCCCCGGGTGGCACGAAGCCTTATTTTTAGGCTCAAATTGGGTTGTAGAGTAAGCTTGTATCGAGCACATACCCATCTTTAGCAAAGCTACCCGGGACGGGGTAAAGCCCAACTTTTAAGTGTCATATCTCGCGAATGCACTGTTTCCGAAAAGTTTTTTCAACTGATCTGTAATCAGCTCGACTTGCTGAGCATTTTGGCATATAAAAACCCAAAATCCGTTTAGTGACCGGATACTTCAGTTGCCAACTTTGAAGCTTCATATCTCGAGCTAGAAGTGTTTCCCAAAAGTTTTTTCAACTGATCTGTAATCAGCTCGACCTGCTGAGCATTTTGACATATAAAAATCCAAAATCCGTTTAGTGACCGGATACTTCAGTTGCCAACTTTGAAGCTTCATATCTCGAGCTAGAAGTGTTTCCCAAAAGTTTTTTCAACTGATCTGTAATCAGCTCGACCTGCTGAGCATTTTGACATATAAAAATCCAAAATCGGTTTAGTGACCGGATACGACAATTTAGCCGGGTCCGGATCGGCGTGAAAGCTACCGGGGCCACCTCGGCGTGAAAGCACGTGTTGGTGGGCGGCGGCTCGGCGAGTACCTTGTAGTAGCACGAGTTCAGCTTCGGGAATTCGGCCAATTCCTGGGAGTACGATTGGTGGAGGCGTTAAAAACGTACCTGGGCCAGCCGGGTCATGATGTCGAGGGTAAAATAAGTTTATTTTTGTCTTTCGGTGCAGTTAGAAGTAAAAATTCAAATTAATAAAATTCTAATTTATTATTCTACGTAAATATATTTACTTTTTTAAGCGATTCAACTTAGAAATTCAAATGAATAGAATCTTGATTTCTTGTTCTGTTATTTCTGTTCCTAGCAAGTGTTATTCGGCCCTTTTCGCGTGTAAAAATCGAAATGAATCAAATTCTAATTTATTATCCTACTGCCCCTGGCGTCAGTAGCTGCTCCGCGTCATCGACACGTTCGTCATAGCGCGATTTTGATGTACGAGCCGGGCGGCGAGGCTGAATCGTCGTGGCAGTTGGCCGGCAGCCTGGACGACCGTCGTTGCCTCGCCGGTCGGGAAGGTTTTTGGCTGGATGAGACCTGGAAGTGGGCAAGGTAGCAGAGATTTTTGAGGAAATGAAGCACCCTGCGGCCAGGGCACTCAAGCAGAGACAATTTGCGGAAAATTGACTCACATGGCAGTATTTTTGCGAGCAGATCCCAGACGATTTGCTCAACGTAGGCGTAATACGGGCGGTAGAGCATCAGAGTTACAGTGGTGGAGAGCGAGCCGTGGAGGCTGAGGATCAGCTCGGCGGTCGGGATCAACCCTAGAGGAGTTTTATAGTTTGATGAGGATTTGAATCGTGGTTATTTCGCATTATCGTAGGGGGGGCGGGGCAATTTTGTTCTCAGGATCTAATTTTTGAAATATATATAGTGGAAAGTTTCTAGATGATTTTTTTGCTATTCCTAAACGTGATACATTTACATTTTATTAAAAACACGAAAAAGATCGATTTTTCGAGCAAAAAAAAAGCGGATTTTGACCAAAATTTCGACTTTCTCAAGGATTTTTAGCGTTTTTAGATAGTTTTTCTAGTTCCCCCCCCCCCGATAATGCAAAAGCACCAGTTTGGCTGTAACAAACTCGAAGAACCATTTTTAAAAGCACTCACCAAACATTGCCACAGTTTTTGTCACAAAAATGTAGACGCCGCCGAGAATCGGCGTCAATATAGTGATCATTGGGATTGATACCTCAAAATGAATAGTTTTAGCTAACTTAAGATATGTTTTTCGATTTTTATAGCGTTAAATCACCTGCAAAATACACTTATGAATCCATTTCCGTTGGAGCTTAAAGGTTCGGACGCTGATCTGGTCGCGTCTCGATTCCAGGATGTAGAAGCTCGTGAGAATGGCTCCTATTGATGCGTTAGTGGTTTTGTAGGGTACTTACCGCCAACAATAACCACAACGATCACCACCCAGACGGAGACGTTGATCATGATCAACATGCCGGCCTCGTCGGAAAAGGCGTAGAAGCGGGGGACCAGGATGAATTGGCGGAAGATGGGGTATTTCTGGAAGACCAACTTTTTTATTAGGATCTAATTTTGCAAATATAAATAGTGGAACTCTAAGTGTTTTTTACTATTACTAAACTTGAAAAGTTTCGAAATTTGTATTGAAAATATCAAAAATGTCGATATTTCGAACGAAAGGGGTTATTTTATCAAAGTTTCGACTTCTAATAAAGTTTTTAGATAGTTTTTTTTGTTGAAAAATAGTTATATATCACTGAAAACACGATTAAAACAATTATAAGAAGTTAATAGGCATTTGCAAAATGTACAAAAGTTCGGTCCCCTCGACAATGCGAAAGAACCCTTCTAAACTTTAAATTAACGAAATACCCACGTCCAGATAGTGATCTCTCATTTTTGGCTGATCGTCGTTAGAGAAAACGATGAAGAACATGATGCCAAAGTGGAGATATGGCCAAACTTGCATGAAACTGTAGAAGCCGAGGCGGATGCTAAACAAAACGTTAAAAATTCGATGGTTTCCGCAGGCGTCTCTGCTAGCCTACCACGCACCTCGGGCTCATCTTCAAGATGTTGTCGCCGGGCATGATGGTCTGGTGGCGGACGACGAACATCGTCACGATCAGGGTCACCATGTGGCCGATGAAGACGAAGCCGAGGAACTGCAAGGGGTGACGGTTCTGGACTGTTAGCGGGGGGGGACCGAATTTTTTCCCCATCATTCTTTAAGGCCCTATGACAAAATATAAACCATTTTTATAGCATATTACATAGTTTTTAGATATCAAAACAATATAAAAACAAAAACCTCCCCTCGCTAACAGTCCAGAACCCAATGACCCACAATCTGAAGCTGCGTCGTCAGGCCGAATTGCCACATCCACCCGACCGGAAAGCCGCCGGGGACCGGAAAGATCAGGTAAGGGGCCAGACCCGAACCGACCAAGCCGTCCGCCAATAGGGAAATCACCTGAAAATCGGGGTTATGGCATTTCGGAGGAAATCTCTGCTAGCCTGCCCAATCCAGATTCAGTTGCTCCCGAACAAACCCTGCTAGCCTACCACATCCTTCCCAAATGATCTCAGCTAGCTGCCCACCTGATACGCCGATAGCGCCCTCCCATAAGTTTTCATGCTCGACGGCGTATGGAATACGATGACGAACAGCCCGAAAAGGTTCACCACCGCGCCGACCACTGAAAAATACAGTTCTCTCGCCCTTGCAGAGATTACTGAGGAAATAGGAAGCCCTAAAAATTACCGGTCACCCATTCCATAACACTGAACATTCCGGAATTTGTATCGAGCGGAATTTCTCGCGAAGTGTCGACGAAAAAGGAGAAATCTGACATCTGAAAACGTATGTTAAGTTACCTACAGGGTGTCCCAAAAAAAAACGAACCATCTGGCATTTTGCCGTGTTACATGCAATCGGCCCAAAATTTGGACCAGAGGTGTATCAGACCCTAAATAACAACAATCCTGATTTATAGCCCCGTAGCTATCGTCGTTCTCGAGTTATAACGAAAATACTGTTTTTCACGCAATTTTAAACAGTTTTTTCGGCTATCTTTTTTTGGGCTTTGCATCGATTTGCATCGATTTCCGGCTACGAATCCATAACTTCGCTTAAGAACTGGGCAATTTTGCGTTGTAAAAATCGCTTAAATCGAAGCTTATTTAATTAATTTTACACTGGAAAAAATTTCTTGAGGTAAAGAAGGCCTTCCGGATCTTTTTCACTTAATGTTAAATGGGTCTAATTCCACGAAAACCCTATGAAAAATACAAAATAAAGTTTGTTTTTGCCATAACTCGAGAACTACTCTAGCTACAGAGCTATAATTCAGGATTGTTGTTATTTAGGGTCTGATACACCTCTGGTCCAAATTTTGGACCGATTGGATGTAACACGGCGAAATGCCAGATGGTTCGTTTTTTTTGGGACACCCTGTATATATCGGACACCTTCAGAACGTGGCAATTAGATGGCAAAAAACCCTCAAAAGTCCCCCATAATAAAGCCTGGGGTCAAAATAAAAGTGTTTTAGACCCGAGGCTAGCACCTGGCCGCCCGCTGCTCCCGTAAAATATACCTTTTCCGATGGGCGACAGGTGAAATCTGCGGAGCGACCAACATCTTTGGAGCAACTTTTAATCCGCCCTTTTTTTCGAAAAATACACCGGACTGGGGAGTGGTCAACGCCACAAAGAGTCGATTTCCAGTTATACTCTATCCGAAAAATCCCTTCAACAAACAGTCTTTTACCAGCCAAATCCAATGGTACCACTTTTAAGCCGATCTGACAAAAGCTAAGCCCGCTAAGCCGACTTATGTCTTTCGGGGCAGCCCAAAAATTGCAAAGCGCCGTAACTTTGCGCTGGAATCTCAAATCGTCGATCTGAAACCTGTTCTGACATGCTAAAGAGCTGCCCAATCTACCCTGAAAATTTCAAAACCGGAAACATAATTCTAAGGGTATCGACTTTTCCCGGGTGGTCGAATCGGACCTCGGGCTTGGCCACCCGGAATTGCCAAAATCGCGCGGAAGCGCGCTAGAGCTCCAATTTTTTGCATTTAGGCTACTTGAAGGCTCAGAAAGCACCCCTAGTAATTTGAAGGCGCTAGGACAGCGGGAACTAGTCGAACCGTCATTGGGGTGTTTTTCGTAGTTTTTGCGATGGCGCGCGCTTAGGTATGGCTTAGGCTTCGGCCGCTCCGTGATGCGAGTGCGACGATTAATAGCTCGTTTGAAAGCCCTTGACGAGCCGGATCGAACGGTACCACTTTTAAGCCGATCTGACAAAAGCTAAGCCCGCTAAGCCGACTTATGTCTTTCGGGGCAGCCCAAAAATTGCAAAGCGCTGTAACTTTGCGCTGGAAACTCAAATCGTCGATCTGAAACCTGTTCTGACATGCTAAAGAGCTGCCCAATCTACCCTGAAAATTTCAAAACCGGAAACTTAATTCTAAGGGTATCGACTTTTCCCGGGTGGTCGAATCGGACCTCGGGCTTGGCCACCCGGAATTGCCAAAATCGCGCGGAAGCGCGCTAGAGCTCCAATTTTTTGCATTTAGGCTACTTGAAGGCTCAGAAAGCACCCCTAGTAATTTGAAGGCGCTAGGACAGCGGGAACTAGTCGAACCGTCATTGGGGTGTTTTTCGTAGTTTTTGCGATGGCGCGCGCTTAGGTATGGCTTAGGCTTCGGCCGCTCCGTGATGCGAGTGCGACGATTAATAGCTCGTTTGAAAGCCCTTGACGAGCCGGATCGAACGGTACCACTTTTAAGCCGATCTGACAAAAGCTAAGCCCGCTAAGCCGACTTATGTCTTTCGGGGCAGCCCAAAAATTGCAAAGCGCTGTAACTTTGCGCTGGAAACTCAAATCGTCGATCTGAAACCTGTTCTGACATGCTAAAGAGCTGCCCAATCTACCCTGAAAATTTCAAAACCGGAAACTTAATTCTAAGGGTATCGACTTTTCCCGGGTGGTCGAATCGGACCTCGGGCTTGGCCACCCGGAATTGCCAAAATCGCGCGGAAGCGCGCTAGAGCTCCAATTTTTTGCATTTAGGCTACTTGAAGGCTCAGAAAGCACCCCTAGTAATTTGAAGGCGCTAGGACAGCGGGAACTAGTCGAACCGTCATTGGGGTGTTTTTCGTAGTTTTTGCGATGGCGCGCGCTTAGGTATGGCTTAGGCTTCGGCCGCTCCGTGATGCGAGTGCGACGATTAATAGCTCGTTTGAAAGCCCTTGACGAGCCGGATCGAACGGTACCACTTTTAAGCCGATCTGACAAAAGCTAAGCCCGCTAAGCCGACTTATGTCTTTCGGGGCAGCCCAAAAATTGCAAAGCGCTGTAACTTTGCGCTGGAAACTCAAATCGTCGATCTGAAACCTGTTCTGACATGCTAAAGAGCTGCCCAATCTACCCTGAAAATTTCAAAACCGGAAACATAATTCTAAGGGTATCGACTTTTCCCGGGTGGTCGAATCGGACCTCGGGCTTGGCCACCCGGAATTGCCAAAATCGCGCGGAAGCGCGCTAGAGCTCCAATTTTTTGCATTTAGGCTACTTGAAGGCTCAGAAAGCACCCCTAGTAATTTGAAGGCGCTAGGACAGCGGGAACTAGTCGAACCGTCATTGGGGTGTTTTTCGTAGTTTTTGCGATGGCGCGCGCTTAGGTATGGCTTAGGCTTCGGCCGCTCCGTGATGCGAGTGCGACGATTAATAGCTCGTTTGAAAGCCCTTGACGAGCCGGATCGAACGGTACCACTTTTAAGCCGATCTGACAAAAGCTAAGCCCGCTAAGCCGACTTATGTCTTTCGGGGCAGCCCAAAAATTGCAAAGCGCTGTAACTTTGCGCTGGAAACTCAAATCGTCGATCTGAAACCTGTTCTGACATGCTAAAGAGCTGCCCAATCTACCCTGAAAATTTCAAAACCGGAAACTTAATTCTAAGGGTATCGACTTTTCCCAAAATCGCGCGGAAGCGCGCTAGAGCTCCAATTTTTTGCATTTAGGCTACTTGAAGGCTCAGAAAGCACCCCTAGTAATTTGAAGGCGCTAGGACAGCGGGAACTAGTCGAACCGTCATTGGGGTGTTTTTCGTAGTTTTTGCGATGGCGCGCGCTTAGGTATGGCTTAGGCTTCGGCCGCTCCGTGATGCGAGTGCGACGATTAATAGCTCGTTTGAAAGCCCTTGACGAGCCGGATCGAACGGTACCACTTTTAAGCCGATCTGACAAAAGCTAAGCCCGCTAAGCCGACTTATGTCTTTCGGGGCAGCCCAAAAATTGCAAAGCGCTGTAACTTTGCGCTGGAAACTCAAATCGTCGATCTGAAACCTGTTCTGACATGCTAAAGAGCTGCCCAATCTACCCTGCAAAATTTCAAAACCGGAAACATAATTCTAAGGGTATCGACTTTTCCCGGGTGGTCGAATCGGACCTCGGGCTTGGCCACCCGGAATTGCCAAAATCGCGCGGAAGCGCGCTAGAGCTCCAATTTTTGCATTTAGGCTACTTGAAGGCTCAGAAAGCACCCCTAGTAATTTGAAGGCGCTAGGACAGCGGGAACTAGTCGAACCGTCATTGGGGTGTTTTTCGTAGTTTTTGCGATGGCGCGCGCTTAGGTATGGCTTAGGCTTCGGCCGCTCCGTGATGCGAGTGCGACGATTAATAGCTCGTTTGAAAGCCCTTGACGAGCCGGATCGAACGGTACCACTTTTAAGCCGATCTGACAAAAGCTAAGCCCGCTAAGCCGACTTATGTCTTTCGGGGCAGCCCAAAAATTGCAAAGCGCTGTAACTTTGCGCTGGAAACTCAAATCGTCGATCTGAAACCTGTTCTGACATGCTAAAGAGCTGCCCAATCTACCCTGAAAATTTCAAAACCGGAAACTTAATTCTAAGGGTATCGACTTTTCCCGGGTGGTCGAATCGGACCTCGGGCTTGGCCACCCGGAATTGCCAAAATCGCGCGGAAGCGCGCTAGAGCTCTAATTTTTTGCATTTAGGCTACTTGAAGGCTCAGAAAGCACCCCTAGTAATTTGAAGGCGCTAGGACAGCGGGAACTAGTCGAACCGTCATTGGGGTGTTTTTCGTAGTTTTTGCGATGGCGCGCGCTTAGGTATGGCTTAGGCTTCGGCCGCTCCGTGATGCGAGTGCGACGATTAATAGCTCGTTTGAAAGCCCTTGACGAGCCGGATCGAACGGTACCACTTTTAAGCCGATCTGACAAAAGCTAAGCCCGCTAAGCCGACTTATGTCTTTCGGGGCAGCCCAAAAATTGCAAAGCGCTGTAACTTTGCGCTGGAAACTCAAATCGTCGATCTGAAACCTGTTCTGACATGCTAAAGAGCTGCCCAATCTACCCTGAAAATTTCAAAACCGGAAACTTAATTCTAAGGGTATCGACTTTTCCCGGGTGGTCGAATCGGACCTCGGGCTTGGCCACCCGGAATTGCCAAAATCGCGCGGAAGCGCGCTAGAGCTCCAATTTTTGCATTTAGGCTACTTGAAGGCTCAGAAAGCACCCCTAGTAATTTGAAGGCGCTAGGACAGCGGGAACTAGTCGAACCGTCATTGGGGTGTTTTTCGTAGTTTTTGCGATGGCGCGCGCTTAGGTATGGCTTAGGCTTCGGCCGCTCCGTGATGCGAGTGCGACGATTAATAGCTCGTTTGAAAGCCCTTGACGAGCCGGATCGAACGGTACCACTTTTAAGCCGATCTGACAAAAGCTAAGCCCGCTAAGCCGACTTATGTCTTTCGGGGCAGCCCAAAAATTGCAAAGCGCTGTAACTTTGCGCTGGAAACTCAAATCGTCGATCTGAAACCTGTTCTGACA